GAAGAGCAGTCAGAGAAGAAAGACAGGGTAAACTCTGAAGTAATAGAGTAATTTAGAATGACTAAATGTAAAACATGGCAGAGTAATTTCTTTACAGAAACTAAATAAGTTGAGTAATTTCTCATAGATGATACAGAAGTAAGACCACAAATGAAATCTGAACAAAGTATACAGGATGTTTATAAAATAGCTATTTGTAATTTAGAGTAAAGTTAATCCCACTTACAATATTATTTGTATAACAAATCAAAATGTGACTTTAATAGTTTCAAACTCCAGCAAGCATACATGCAATTTTAAAGTGGAATTTGAAAGCTACATACATGTGGTCTGGTGTTCTTTCGTACGAAAAGCTTAACATTAACTTTGCTGAGAGTGAAATGTGAATTAGGTGCAATGTAAATTATGCTCCTTGGAACCAAGCCATGACTATTTAGCTGATACAGCAGGTTGTGACTGATACAGTGAAGTGACATTATCACCTTTTTCTTTCCTCTGCTTTGACCACCTGAGCAGAAGAGACTTTCCTGATTTCTTGGGAGAGGATTAGTGAGTAGGAATTCCTAGATGGTCCGTGCTTTGGCTGAGGCTGGTACACAGGGAGAGGGAAGACAACCTTTCTTCACTACAAAGGCTCTTCCGTGAGCATAAAGATTTTTCAAAAGCACCTCTGTAATTCACAGCTGAAGCAGTCATAGGTGCAACGCCCTGTCAGCAGTGGGGTGAGACAAGCTCCCATAGCAGGCGTCCTCTGAGAGAGTATCTCATGGAAACACAACTGCCCGGGTCACAACGCAAATGCTGCTGGAAACACCTCTGGGAAAGAGGAACAGGTTGTACAGGAAAAAAATGGTGCCTGGGGGCCAGCAGAAACAGGCAGGACCCCCAGCAGCCCAGATGAAGCCAGGACATGTCAGACATGGCTGGAAAGAGCAACGGATGGCAGGGAGCAAAATGCCTCCTCCTCTCTGGGTTAAGAAAATTATTTTAATAGGATAGGTCCTCTTCTGTTGGAAGAAGTATTTTTTTTCAGAACAACTGTAGGACCTATTGAAAATACAAAGCTCTCCATAATATGAGGTTCTGCAAGCAATAAGAAAAATTTATAACACTGCTCAAGCTATTAATGGAACAAACACTGTTGCCTACTACTAACATCTGGTTGCTCTCTTTGGTTGTCTCTTTTTACTTTTTTGCACTACTGCCTTCTAACCACAGTGCAACATGCCACTAGCAACATATTTAAATGATGATTTTCAGCAAGTTTCTGTTTCTACTCCATTCTTTCCTTTTGTAAAGATAAGAGAAAAATGAAAACTTGAGTATAAATAAAAATGAGGACCATGTCATTAGGTTCTTAGTGTCATTTCCTTTCATATAGAAATAAAATCCCTCACTTAAGGCAACCATCTGAAATGTGAAATGTAGCAGCATGTCTACAGAGCCCAAGAATATTAACATAATGATACATTTAGGATAAAGTGGAAAAAAATATTGCATTTAATAAAATTTGCTAGGATAATGCAATCATTTATAATGAATGAATGGAATTTTTATTTCTCAGTGTTGAGACCTGGAACATTCTTCCTTCCTTCAGGTAACTTCAGTTTTTTAATAAGAAGAATTGAACAGGACACAGAATGGGTTGAAGGAGGACAGTTCCAGAAACAGTGCTGGTTAACTTCTTTGGGGACATTGGGTCAGAACTGACTCACAGGAATATTTCCCACCACATGAATAACTTAATGACATGGTTCTAAGCACTGTAGATTCTTTATTGTCCACAACTTAGTCTAGTATACTAGTTTAGACTAGATTTTGAGATAACGTATACTCAAAGTACTGGCTTCAAGCCTTCATTACAAATGGACCCAAATTTTAGTACAGTAAGTCAGCTTTGCAAAATGTCTTTGATAAAATGCCAACAAAGAATGTTATAGCATCTTGGCCTCACATTTTGATTAAAATCAGTCGAAGTCACTATGGAATATAGCTGAACTTAATGGTAGCATAAAGAAACTAATATATGTGAGAGGTACCAATTATCAGTCAAACTTTAAGAGTCCACAAAATTATTTATGTGGCAACAAATTCCCCTTAGAACCACAGTGTTGATGCTGGCAGATGCTTTTCTGACGATGACTTATACATTAGTTTCTGTGGATGTGCTGGAAGAGTGAAATGCTTACATCTACTTCATATACTAGTTTTACCTACCAGAAGAAGCCACATAAACCTCTTACTGTTTGTACCTGAGCCTCCCCAGCAGGTGAGGGGCGTGCAGGGTATCGTGGCTATCATGAAACACAGCAGGACAAACCTTCGCCAACAGTAGTTGCCACAGTGGGAAATCACAGCTCAAAAGGCAGCAGTATGGAAATGATTTCTCAACTATTCATAAAAAAACCCCCAAACTAACTAAATAATCTTATTGGTGAGAAGTGGATATGTTGGCATCATTCTTAAGTATTATTGGTGTTCAGTTAAATGTATCTTCCCTAATCATGTTAGCACTTCTTAACATTCAAGAGGATTATTTTTTTCCCACTGCGGCTTGTGAAGCATTATCTACCGAAGATCATATTAGAAGGGACAGGAGTGAATTTAAGGCACTGTATTTGAAGTAATTCACAAAACTCATTAAAATTCCAAAGATACAAAATGGGTATTCTGTGATGGGCTCCTGCGAATCTGGAGAACTGATTCCCACCCCGCATGGGAATACTTTAAACACAAAGGAAATTCTGCAGAAAAGCTCCATGACTTAAATGAAAAATGTGCTTTGTAAATCGAAATATATTCATTAGTTTGTATTTTTCAACAGAAGCTTGTTAAATACAATCTAAGTGAGTATGGGAAAGCAGAAGAGACTGCTGCATTTTATTTTAGCAGATGTTAGTTACTCATGGGAATCACAAATGGAGTAGTAATTTTAAACAACTGTGGCGATAACTATGCAGAATTAAGACAATAATGGGAGAGGGTAGAAAAATACATTTTTCTCTTCTCCAGAACAACTTAGATAATTCTTTTTCTTACAATTTATACTTAAGTGCTTTCTTTACTGTGTAACCCATAAATGTTGCTAATAGACTAGCAAAGTTTGAGTGAGAAGTATTATCTTTTATTAGACCAGTACACAGAACTGGAAAAAGCAGATGCTGTTTTGGGCTGACCGTCTACTCAGAAGAACTTGCCAAGGAAAGCCTTTTCTATTTTCTTTAACTACGCTCTCCTGAGCAAATAGAAGATACCACCTATCCCCACAGATCCTGATTATATTCAAAGACCATCACAGCTATAACTGACTAGTCAATTTATTTCAGGGATATCCAAAGTTTGCCCACATCCAGCCTTCTCCTTTGTTTTCAGAGAAACCTCCCGTACGTGCTACAGGTTTTGACATCCGATGCTTCATCCCAATTTGACAGACAAGGCGGTTCAAAATGGTATGCCTTGTGTTTTGATCTCTAATGTAGGAGCTGTACCTCTTTAATGTATGAGGATGGCAGGCGTTATACTGAAAAACTTTCAATCCTGTATCAGCGATTACAGAACTCAAGAAGTAAATAAAACGCTGACTCTGGGTGAGTAGGGCCTGGCAGTCTCTGCAGGGAAAAGGCATGTATCAGGCCTATAGAGGTAAATGTAGATATTAAGTGAGGCACACAGCACACGCTGAATCAAATACATGTGTGGAGACACCTACAAAGACAGAGATCAACTGTCCTGTACCATCTAGGCCCTGTTACAGGTGCATTTATCTCCAGCAGTCTGCTTTTCTTTCTGAGTTGTTAGACATGCTTCTGTTGTCTTCCTGTAATTTGGCTGCTGAGCTGTTCTTTCCAATTTTTGGCCCAAAATTCGGCCTTGAGTTTAAAGTGCAAGGAAATGAACTTAAACATCACACAAGAAGAAAACCAGAGCTGAATTATTCAGGATAGGCTCAAGATAGTGTTCACTGACCCGCAAATCCACTTTTAACTACATAGGCCTTATACTAGTTTGTGTGCATACTAGATAGAGTTTGGAATAGACATAAGAAAGTGACTAATTTAGTGAAAGAATTGGCATTATAATCCAAAGTCAGGGTCAAAAAGACAAAATTAATAAATTTATTTCTGGTACAAGTTCCTTATATTAGTTTAACTAAAAAAAAAAAAAAAAAGCATTCTGTAATATGGGAATAAAATTAAAAAGTTGAAAAGAGAAATAGGAATGAATGAGAAAAAAGGGTTGTAGGGAATGATGAATTATTGTATGAAAACGAGATAAAAGCTGCCAGTGAAGGGATTAAGGAAGGAAAGACATCACCAGAGCTGGGAGAAAGGAAGGTTATTTCAGTAGTTGAATTATAGCTAGATTGACAGTCTCTGTAGAGACTTCATCAGATAAGCTGTTATTAAGCCCTTTTAATTCTGTATGCCAAAACTCCTGGAAATACACTGTTGGACTTATGAAATCACTTTGTGTGTGTGTGTGTATAAGCATGGGTGTACTGCATCTAGAACACTGGGTGCAAATCTCAATTTAGGTACCCAGGTAAGGTGGTAAGCAGAAAAAAATTATTGGCAGAACATACTGTAACAGAAGGTAAGGACATTGTATATATTTACATAAAAATGTGCCAATTAAAATATAAATTATTAGTGTAATTAAAAAAGATTTAAGATCCTTATGGCTACATTAATTTATAAAGGGCAGCTAAGATTTGTTAATGGGTAAAACATGGCAAAAGTGGTATCTCGCAGTTTGATTTCCCATGAGTGTATAGATGCAGGGCCTCAAATACTGATAAAAGAACAGATAAAATTCCATAATAAATATTAAATGGCAATGATTCAAAAAATTACCAACTCCTTCTGTCAGATGAAGAGTAGACCTTTGCTACCTGTTTTCAGCACTTACAGAATGGTTTCCCAATGTTTTGGTGTGGCACATCAGTAAGAACCACATCAACAGTTCAGGCCCTTGTTCAGAGCTTCAGACCACAAGCTCACCTGCTCCTGGGTCATCTTCTGCAGCTCTTTCTCCCAGGCTGCCCGGTCATCATCCAGGTGGTAGGAAGCAGGTGGGGTGAGTCCACGCAGAATCAGGGGGTCACGGTCATGGCAGAGGGCTGTCAGATGTCCAATGTACAACTTCAACTTGCTGCGATTCTGATCAAGTTCTAAGAGGGGCTGGATTATCTGAAGTAAGAGAACAGAGACAGTGAGGAACAGCCTGAGATCCAAGCAGAGAAGAAGGCAAAGATCAACCTCTGAATTACAGTCTTGTTCAGCTTCACACTGGAAGAATCCTGAACATGCTCCCTCCCCTGCAGCATATCTATCCCATAACCCACCAACCATCCAGCTGAAGCAGAAAGAAACCAAGTACACTAGGAGAAGGGGACATGGGGATGATAGCTGTCTGATTAATACAGGAAATAATGATGATATGGGTGAAAAATGTAACTGTATTAAATTGAATGCATTAACTGTACTGATTATCTAGAAGTACTTCAGTCAATTATTTCAACTCCCTGCTTTAAGAAAAATTATTTTTGTTTTGATAAAAGATGTCTGTCCATAACTAAGGCAATAGCAACGTAGATTTTAACTGGTTTTGCCAACAAACATTTCATTGTAACTTAAGTATGCAATAAACATGTTCTAAAGAGAACAGTTTAATATGACGCCAAGATGTTTGTTTCTAAGATGAATATATCTTTACTGTAGGAACTGGATAGAGACATATCTTAACCTTAAAGAAGGTTAAGATATAGTTTTCTAGATTTTTTTCTGTAGTTAAGATATAGTCTTCTACAGTTTTGAAAAGGCAATGACTTTCATTTATTATTCAAGACAGATTCTATACCATAGACTAAAAAATTAAAATCAAAGGACTTTAATAAGTACTATTTTATTTCATTGTACTTTACCCAATCTGAATTTAATCCTTGTTTCTCATTGCAATCCAAACTGGAATCATCCAGTTCCCTTAAAAGTATTTGAAAAGACATTTTTCATGTGTTTTAAAAAAATTCAGAGCTCAAGTGCATAAAGACATACTGGGAATCCCTTACTATGACCCTCCAGAAGAATACTGCTTCGTACGGTTCTAGGTGTTTATGGGCATATATTCAAAACGGCAGTAATAGAAAACCCAAAAGTTTGCAGCTAATGAAAAACCAGGGAAGAGTTTGGCTTAGTGGCTCCACTCCATAGAACGAGGTGTGGAAGAGACAGGCGCGGATGTGCACCAGCCAGGAGAGCTGGAAAGCCGTGCCATGGTACCGGCAACTTGCCTTTGTGTTCCCAGGCAGGGGCTGCACCTGCTGTTTGTTAGCAGGTGGGGAAATCTTTTCAGTAGGACACCTCTGACACTGCTAATGAATAAGGAGTGAGATAATCTTTGAGTCAACAGGAACAGGGTGCTGGCATTACTTTCAACAAAGACTCTGGCTTCGACTCCTTTTAATAAGGCTGTCAGGGCTCACTTAGTTTGCTTCTAATACTGTTCTACATGGATTAATTTCTGTAGACTGAGAGCATCTGAGAGCCATGGCTGAACAGCTAACTAATGTCAGGCTCCCCGTCCTGCAGAGCATAGCTGTGCTCTGCAGCCTACACCAGAACATCAGGGTGGCTGCAGCTATGAAAAGCCACAGTGACACGGCAGCTGTGGTAGAGGAGACAGGCAAGGAACCTGCAGAGAGACCGAGCTCACGTGTTTGATTAAAAGCCCTACTGCTCTGTGCGGCCTTGGGGCAACACCTCTTTGCAGACATAAACACACATGTAAAAATAATGGTTTGATGTATCAAGACCGCAAACTGCAGCAGGGCAGAATACTCTGCTCTCCTGCATACAGAGCAATAGGAAGGGATATTTCAGTAGCATCAACACAGTTACATTTCACTTCCATCACCAAGCACAACTGTATTTAGCCAATTATATTCATCAGCTTTGGTTGTTTGCCGAATTTGAGCTATTTGCCCCAATTTCTTACAATTTGGGTTACCTAGATTATGATCTGAAAGTGTACTGCCTGTGCAGGTGAAAAATAGTGATGCCTCTAATTAACTGATGTCTTTCCTATCTTTCTCACTATTTGGTTTGCCCACAGCGGGTAGAATGATGGAATATCACATCTTAAAAATATATGGTTTTATACAAATGTGAAAATTAAGTAGTCAGTGGCTAATAACTCGTTGTCCAATCAATGAAGTTGCTGCCTTGTATCCTTTTCAGATACCGCAGCTCTATTGAACATCCATCAGATGCGCAGATTTCCGCCTGAAAAGAATCTGCCTTGTCAACCTTCCCGCCTATTCTTTGTGAAACCCTCCCTGATATAGAGAAAGCAGAGCTATCTATCAAGTAATGATGGAAGATTTTCATACAACAGTTGAATTTGATTGCTCAGGGACAAGTCCCCTTTGGAAGCACATTCCTCCTGTACCCCTCCCCCTTACCTCAAGCTGGAAACAGGCCAAATGAGGCGTGTGAAAGTTCTTAACTAGCAGCCCTCCCAAAGCTGTTCGCAGAGCAATCATTCCTCTCACTTGGGATCCATTAAACCCTGCCAGTCAAGTACAAAATGCCCTTATATCTGCGTTCCTGCCATATCTAATTTGAACTAGCCACTTAGCAAGAGGCACTGTGCTTCCCACACAGCAGAGCTGCCACTGCCTTATCTCAAGAGGGTGTAAGAGCATTTGCTAAGTGGAAAGGCAGGGCAGTGCTGGATTTGTAAACCACATTGAGTTCTCATGATCAGCTCAGACCCGTTGGGCTTTCTAGGAAAACAATGGGTAAACAGACCAAATCCAGGAATATCTTCTAAAGCAGCCCTGATTCATTAATTGCCCTGATAGGTTTAGGCCATCCTCATCAATGCGTGGAATGAAGTCTGCTTAATGTACCCTCAAGTTCAGAATATTAATGGCCAGCTAAATTTGACAACATGTTTCACTAAAAAAGGCAATCACTACAACTCTGAAGCAGAAACAAGAAATGCCTGACAAATCTCTGATACAAACCCAAACCCTCTCTACCAACTGATAAAGACATTTGGGAACATATTCCAAACCAAATTCAACTTAGAAACAACATGTTCAGGTTTCTTGAGATTTCGCAGATTTTTTTTTTAGTCTTTGAGCATGACAGATGTGAATCTAATTGTAGTTGTGCAAGTCACTGGAGAAAAAAAATGCTTTAGAATGGAATTAATGCTGTTTCTTCAGTGGTAGTGCTGTTGGTATACAATGGTCAGCTGAAATATGGGTAACTATTTAAAAGTTTTTTGTCGTAAGAGTCTGCATTTAAATACACATACATACGCTGCATAGGTAAGAAAGGGTACTTGTAACTGAATGTGGTTGGAGAGACCTATCTAAATGTTTGGCCACTTTTACTGTGAAAGATGAATACACTTCCCATACAGAGACTGTGGTGTCTAAAAGTTTGTCTGAGCAGTGTCTAATATAAATACACAAAAACACGTAGGTGGTTATATGAAAAAGAAAACCAGTGAATGGGTGGTAGAAGTGCAGCAGTGTCAATCTGAAACAAATGTGATATTGACTATCCATAGGCATCTGCAGAATAAAGCACGGTTTTAATCAATGCCTAATAGGACTCATTCACCGCAATCACCAGCTTTAAATTATGGGTTCTCCAGGCAGAAGGGCTCATGACCTGGTCACCTTTCTCCCTGCTAACATTCCCCTTCTTCTTTGAAGGAAGCAACCACTTTTCTTTTGCAGAACACCAAGTAATTAACTTTACTGAGTTAATTTCAGAGAATACCTTCTAAATTTCTACTTAGCAATAAATCTTCAGCTCCCATTTCAAAGAAAGTCCTATATGCACCCCTAAAACCTTGTATATTTTTCCTTCTGTATTAGTCGATATTGTAAAAGTTATCTCCTTACACAACCTGCCTTACTCATCAGAATCATGCATCAACATGCATGCTGATTGTGCATCGACAGCAATAATCTTGTTCTTACAGATACATGCCTATGATTTCTCTGAGCAAGCAAAAAAAAAAAAGGAGAACACAGCATCTTCTTGACACAGTAATGCCAGTACAAAATGCCATACATACACCCGGCACTGGCATGCCTGTTGTCATGCTCCCCTATTAGCTTGACTACCCTACTTGCACATACGCTGTATGTATATATTCATTACAGAACGCTAAAAGGCAGAGTAATGCAGGTAAGTGGTCTTCATTTGCAATCAAATAATTCAGTAGATTTTTCTCAATTTACCCATAAATCTTTAAATATTTGAGAAAAAACCCTGGAAGAACAAATATACCAAGAAGAAAATAAAATAGAATTGACAAGTAATCTTGAGGTCAAAGTAAATAACATGAGGTCAAAATTTCACTGGTTTTGTATCAAAAGTGTTACAAAGAAGTGCCGACAGAATCAATCTGAAAGTTTCCAAGGACTTAACTAATTTGAGAAATGTTCTAGCTTGCTAGCCTGGTCTACGGACCTTGAGTGTTCTTTGTAGATCCTGCAAAGGCATAAAAAAATAAGGAAATCTGAAAAAAATCCAACCAAAACCCCAAACATCACCAAAGACCCCCTCAAAACTTCAGACTGGACATAACAAATATGCTTGGAAAATAAGTTAAATGGAGGTATCCCTTTATCTCCTATCAATCACATTTTTCATGTGAGAGTGGGAAATAATTTTCAAACTTTGTTACATACAGATGCAACTATACTACCCAAAAAAACCTACTTCCCAAACTACCATTACACATGAGAAGATGGGCTCAAAGTCTGGGTAAATTCTTATGTTTCTAAAAAGAAATCATTTCAAGGAGGACCTGACAAATCTAACAAAAGATGGAGTGGATCACAGTGGGTCCTCAGATGCCTCCCTGTATCTGCGTTTTATTATAAACATTACCAGACAAGAAAATGTTGCCTATATAGCAAAATATCTTATTCTGCGAGATATGGAAATAAACTAAGATACCAAATGAGATAGTCTGGAAGTATTTGAATGGCAAATTGAATTACACTTTCTTGCTCAGACCATTTGTGTGTGTTTGGCAACAAATGCAAGGGTTCAACTACAATCATCTCGTAACTATTGAATGCAATGGAGTTTTATGAGGCATGAATTTGGCTCAGAAAGTGCAAAGCTTTCCCAAATTCAGAACAATTTATCACTGATGT